TTACACACTGCTAGGTATTTATTTCTCAATCTCTGTCCTACCTCTAGCTCTCTTGTTCGTTGCTTTGCTCGGCAATCTGCTGATCATGGCTGATCAAAGCTAATTTGTCAGGACTGGTCAACAGCAGTTTGCAAGGCTCGTAATAACATCTGTACAGTACGTGATTCAGCATAGGGCGACCGTTACTTGGCGGTGCCCTTGGAAGGACCCTAAATGGTTGTTCGCCATATCGAAAGGCTGCATTTATTGTTGGCTGATGGCTCATTGATATTACCTCAGGACAGATATACCTACTGGATTTGGATGTAAAAAGATCTGAGGCTGAATGCAATGATACAAAACATGCTAAAAGTGAGTGTAGGCTTGCGACCTTTTGCCCAAAGTTCTGTGTCGTTCTCTTCTGCTTTAATTTTTAGTAAACGGTAGCCAAGGACGCTGATATCATCATTCAATGTTGTTATTCGCATGCTATTATACATCAGGATGACAGCAATTGTGCAGTGAATTACTTGCAGCAGATAATATATGACCGCTTAGTCTTATTTGCAACCGTTCATAATAGTTAATCTACCCGTATCTTTGGTGCCTGCTCAGTTATGTCTAATGTGGCTGACCGTTGGAACGGCACCGTTACAGGAGGCGATGTTTCTCAATCTGATTCCATTAGATTAAACGGCAGTCTCTGAAAGTCACACACTGTCTAGTTCGACATTTGTTCGGTCTGTTGTCCTAATGTACACAGACTTAAGCTCTATCAACAATGAATCGCTCGTGCGCGTCAGTCAGCCCACATAATCCAAACCCATCTGTGATGTAACGTTTAATCGACGCTGGTAGAGTAGCTGAGTGTGTTTTACCGGCCAGCTGCCCGTGTCCCCGTATTTCAGCGGCGGCCTGAGACGCGCCGAGCCGGCATCAGGTCAAATGGTGACCTCTGTGTGTGACTTAGCATCGGCAGCTGGCGACAGCGGCGGCGGCGACACCTTGGCGAGATGCCACCCCCCTCTCCCCCTACCGGTGCCCTGTCGACAGCTGCCCCACGCGGTTAGCCGGCACACAGCACGCCGGTCGGCCGTATCATAACGGCACGGCTCGGCCGTACCGTCCCACGCGGCCATCCGGTGCATGGTCTGCACGGCCGGCGGCGCGTGCTGGTTGGTCAGTTCTCAGAGCGGAGGCACCCGGCGCGGCGGGCTGGGGCGCGGTGGACGGTCAGAGCAGGGGGTAACACTCGCTAACACAGTCAGAGTGCTACACCGAGCGGTGCACGGGGCGCAGAACGGCCCGGCTGGGATCTGCCACGGCCGTTTGGACCGGTTCGACTCGGTCCGGGGTCAGCAGTAGCAGAGAGGAGGCCGCAGAGCGTTCCCTGCGCTCCCCTTCTGTCCATGGAATGGTGCTTCACCCGGGCAGTTGGGCAGATAGAGGCTGGCTTTTACTGCCGGCCGCGGCCACGAGAGGCCTGTCGAGGCTTGGGGCCGTCAATGGCAGACACAGATATGGGCCGGATCGGTCGACCGCCGGACACGGGAAAGGTCAGAGAGCTGCCCCGGTCGATACTGGTCAGAACCCTTCGCGATGGAGGGGAGAGGATTTTTATAGTCCGACTAGAATAATCCAAGTCGGTTGTCGGATTGGCTCGTAAACTGAAATAGGAGTGACATTGAAAAGTATCGTTAACTTTATCTCATGGAAATGACTATTTTGCAATGAAATAAAATGGTCAGAACTTAGAAAGATAAGTGCAGGACGAAAATCTTAAGGACCCACTTGGACGTTCTCAGATTTATAAGGTGGTCCCACAGACATTGGCATATTTCAGCCTTCCCTCACAAATCTGCCAGTCACGGCCTTGAACCGAACTATACGAGCTCGTCGGTGTGACCAGCGGCGCGCCATGAGCGCTGCCCGGAAGCGATGTTTTAGACAACAAAGGCGGACCGTGGGCGCTGCTGTGTCGAGTTCCGGTCGGGGCGTCAGTGGGCCGCGGTGCCGCCGGCGCCGCCTCTGAACTGGTGCCGCCGCGCCGGTCGGCAGTGGGCGCACTGACAGCTCCGTCTGACCAGGACAGTGCCGGTACCGGTGCCGCCTCTGAACTGGTGCCGCTGGCCAGCAGCCAGTGGCAGCTCCGTCTCTCTGCCGACTCCAGCCGGTGCCGGTAGCTTCCTCTGGACTGGTGGCAGCTCCGTCCCTCTGCCGGCCCGACCCGGACGCTGCCCGGGGCCATTCGTCTGTGTCGCCCGACAGGCTGTGTCGTCAGCGACGGCGACCGATGGCGTCCCGCCCCCCGTCCCATCCCCCCGACCCTGACCCGGCTGTACCGAGACCGACCGACCGCAGGCTCCGACTAACTAAACGCCCGGCCTAAAATTATCCGCAGCTGCCCCGGCGCATGGACCTCTTCTGACCTGCAGGCCGGCGCCGGCCGGCAGGGTCACACAGTCGGCACATGGCCGGCCGCCCGTTAACCTAATCGTCAGATAAGTCAAATCGCGTGCGCCGGCTGACTGGCTGAACTGCTGAAGTCGTTCTGCAGTGGCGGAATGGCGCCAGTTTCATTCAGACAATTCCCGCTGCGGCTCTGTGGAGCGTGCCAAGCGGCTTGGCGCTTGGCGCCCACACACGGCCTACGATCTGTGAGACGGCTGCATGGCTCTATGGCCGGGTTCAGCGGGGAGACTCGATGACTTCCGATTGTTGAGACGGCACATCTGAGCCCTTGTTTGGACGGTCAATGCAATGCTGTAACGTTATCCACTAACCACTGGGATTCTCCCTGTCTGATTGCTCCTGACTCTGTATCTTTCATTCCGTCGCTGTCGCCGCCGTTGATCACGCGTCCGTCGCCCGCCCGTCGTCCGGCTGATCTCGGCAGTCGTCCGGCCGGCCGTTCCCATTTATACTGTCCGGGCGATAGGAGCGCCGACGGCCGGCCGGGAGGTGCTGGGCTCAGCCCGGCCACCCCAGCCGAGCAGATAGCTCCTGCTGTCCCCGGACGACTACCGGCGCCGGTTAAACGAGCCACTTGCTCGGTCCGGTGAGCCGTTAGCAGCCCGTGGCTGTAGCTCCCAGGTCGGGCCGGGTCGCAGGTGCCAGGTCGGGCGGCGTGGTTGCAGCTATATACCAGGTCGGGCCGGGTCGCTGCAGTGCCCGGTCACAGCTCGGCCCCGTTGCCGGGCTGAGCTGGCGCGGCGCGATTGATCGGAATTAATGGTCTCGATCAGAAGGCCGGCCCGCGCGGACAGCACCGTTTGTCCGGGCCGAGACAATATCGGAGCGGGAGCGCCGGGAATTGGCGGGAGACGGTCACCTATAGGTGAAACGGTTGAAAGTATAGAGACTGTGCTCAGACATTAGAACAGGCGGAACAGCGAGGAAGCTTGAGCGGAGAGTGACCGGAACTGCAGGCTCGAAACGTATATTAGCGGGCGCCTCTGAACATTGTTTTAGAAGCTAGCTACTCTCTGGTGTAAATGTATGAAAGTCGCCTGTCGAAGGCGAAGTTTCCTAGATGAACTGTCTGACGAAACTGATAAATCTAGTTAGCGAGTTTGTGCTACTGAAAGCTTGTGACGCGATGAAAGTCTCGGGAGAATCTATCCATCGAAGCAATATGAGGCGACGAATGCAACGAAAATCTGAGTCATCTTAATCTGGCATAATGTAAATTATCTAGCAAAATATCCACGCTCTCCGTAAGCAAATTGTTTATAAATGCAGATACCCAGCGCTTCAGTCTCATTGTTATTCATTTTTGTCCGATAGTTTTGGATCCCAGCGCAATGTAACCCGCTACATTAGGGGCGGTACATTGCGCCACATCACTTGCACTGTGACCCGGTAAGAACAGGCAGTCTGAGGGGGGAGAGGGCATGTCTGGGGAATGCCCCAGGGAGTGGTTTGGCTGCCAGCCGGCTTGTTACGGTCACGTTCCGTGTATGTCCAGTGCCACTACAGGCACGATAACACCCCATCCAGCGGCTACGGAGCGGCTACAATACCGACACCGCCGACCCCTATCCGGGCGCTCGTGCACGGTCAGCACGGCACGCGAGCCACGGGAGTAAGGGAGACGAAATTAGTGGTGGGGTGTCCACTGTCCAATCACCCTGACTGATGTAAAGGCTGAAACAGACTCTTTCCGCGTTCAGGAAATCGCATGCGAGAGCCTATTCAAATACATTGTAATTCTTCTCGCATCAATCGCTTGCGGGAGGTGCGTGCGATTGATGCGAGCGTGCTTCCATGTATTTGAATAGGCTCTCGCATGCGATTTCCTGACTGCGGAAAGAGTCTGTTTCAGGCTTAAAATCAAATCGATGACTCGGGCACAAGATGCATCCAGACATTGTAACTCTTATAAGGATACTCATCTGTTCATACGTTTAGGTGACCTTGTTTTCAAGTTGACAAACAAAATGTATTATCCTCTTATCTCCGCAGGAGAAAGAATAATCACATTGACTCCGATAAAGGCAGGTGTTGCGAGCAGTTCCCTTGTCCGGGTTCAACCGGTAGTTTATTATTATCAATCCATTCCTTTCGATGCATTTAGTGCAGATAACAATAAATGAGCTAACTCGCAAATAGGTCAAAATAAACATAATTCGCCCGTATTGATAACGAACAATGTGACACTACCGATAGGTTAGGGTAAAAGGATATAGAACAGTTAGTCGTGTTAGTAGCGAGTCCATGTTATTCGTTAATGATATGGAAGGAATCGGTAGTGTCATTGTTTAAAGACCCACCGTTTTATCATACACGCAGATCCTAAGCCATACGAGGTGAAAATAACCAGTCGTCAATCATTGTAACATACGGTAGGTAAGTGGCACTGTCCATAACGTGATAGGTGGCGCCAGCAGTAATACTGGTGCCGAGTCTCGAAGCAATGACAATATCGGACAATGCATTACCCAATGCCGCAACGGCAGCAACACTCCTCCCCCTTTTAGCAACTCAGCGCGGAGTCAAGGCCATTATTCATCCACCAGTGCCCCCGTCGCATCCAGTTCACCGCACAGCAGAGCGTTCAGTTCGTCAGCGGCATCCCCTCTTTACCTATCAGCAGGTCGATTAGTTCATCAGCAACAGGCCAAATATGTCAGCCGCCAAGCAGACCGGCACTACACCACCCAACCAGTGGCCGCACCGCCATCACCCACTCCACTGTGGTACGGCCACGACACTCATGGAGGCTGCCATGGTCAGCTGAGCACCCAACAACCAAGTACACACAGCTCCAGTGGTCCGCAGAGCAGCACAAGCGCAGAAGTCACCTCCGCAGCCACACCTCTGATCCCAGCTCAGTCACGCGTTCTCCCTCGTGTTCACGGTAGGACTCCTTCGCCATGGTCGTCAGCTCATCCGTACTCCAGGTCGCAGGCATCACCTATCTCCGCCAGAGTCCACCATGGCTCGGAAGACAGAGGCAGGCCACCAGCCCGGCGGCCAGGTGGGAACGGAGCCTCAGACAGCATCACTGGTTCACTGACGGCTTCACGTCAGCACTCCTCCTCCATCCTCCCAGTCAACCAGGGTCGCAACACCCATCGGTCACCGCCACAGCCCCAAGCCATGACTGGGTCCGTCAGCGCGGCTAGAGGCAGACCGTCGGCCTGACAGTCAGGTAGCCGGCCGTTACTCTCCGGCCACGCCGCCGTCGGCTCCTCAGTCAAGAGGTCAGCTGTCGAGGAGACAGCAAGGTTAGGCTCTCACGGGGACAAGGTAGGGGTTGGGGTGGGGTCACGTTCGGTAACGTGATTACCGAATGGCCTGTTGAAATTAACGGGGAATTACAATACCAAAATACCAATTTGTAATTACAATACAAAACGGGCAATTACAATACCATCAAGGTATTATATACGTCTATACGAGAAATTGTCAATATAACGGGCAATTACAACATAACGTCATATAGAGTTCACACCAAACGCAATAATTCAGAAAAAAACATAAGCAACAGCGCAGCAGGGTAAAGGGCGCAGTGCTTCCTGAGGCCTGCCGCACTGCGCAAATATCAGTCTATATATCAGCAACGATGTATCACCATCGATAACCCAAGGGAAAATAGAAGAGATAAAGGGAAAAGTATAATCAAAGAATGAAGAGCTAAAAAAGGAGAAAACTAGTATGAATCAATAAAAATAACCTTAATAGATTTTTTGAAGTGGGATTTAGAGGAAGGAATGTCTCGGATATCCGGGATAAGAGGACTAATGGTTCTGTTCCAGACCCTCGGTGCTTGGTAAAATAAATTAAACAAAATGTAGTTCCTATGTTTATAATTAGGCAGCCTCTCAGCACCATCCGTGTGCACAGTTTCACAGAAATGTATGTTGCCTCTAAGATTTCGAGCCGAATGATACAGATGGAACCTCCTGGCCAATGGCCATGGTAAATGACCATGTAAGAAGTCATGCAGCACAAGAAGAAGCTGGTACTGAAGAAGGTCAGTAATCTTCAGGAGTCTCAGCTCTCGAAATAGGGGTCCTGTATGGGCAATTCGCCCTGTTCCAGCTACTAGACGAATAGCACGTTTCTGCAGTACGATTAGCGGTTGCAAGGAAGATTCATAATTAGACCCCCAGGTAACAAGACAATAAGTGAAGTATGGGAGAATAAGAGCGTTATATAAGAGTAATACCTGCTTCCTATCAAATAAATACCTTGCCCTACTAATTATACCTAAGTTCCTACTGACAATGGATGAGACCTTTTCAATATGCGACTTAAACCTGAGGTCTTCGTCGACCAGGACACCAAGATATTTCACAGTCTGTGCCCTCTTAATATGTATATTGTTGGCCATAATACTTAGACCATCAAGAGAAGTCGACGGAGAAAATATCTGATAAAATGTTTTTGAAGCTGATAATGATAGTCGATTTGAATGTAGCCACTCTAGAATTTTAGGGAATGACACAGACACAGAAGCTTGCAAGTTATTGATGCTAGAAGCCGTATAGAAAATTGCTGTATCATCAGCAAAGAGGAGAAATTTTGCTTCAGGGGATACAGAACTAAGATCATTAATATATAAAAGAAATAGCAAGGGCCCCAAAATAGATCCCTGTGGGACCCCACATGTAACCTCCTGAGGGCCGGATGTGATGCCTTTGTATTTTAATATGTGACTTCTCTCTGAAAGATAAGACTTAAGAAGTACAAGAGAATCACCAGAAATGCCATACACCTTTAATTTAGCAAGCAATATATCTATATTTACCGTGTCGAAGGCACGAGCGAGATCTAAATAAATAGAGGTGGATATATTGCCCTTAGCAAGATTGGAAGTTATATGGTCATGCAAGAGTGCAATAGGCATATATGTAGAGTGCTTAGATCGAAATCCAAATTGGTACTCATAAAGAATATTATTATCAAAAATAAAAGACGTAAGTTGTTGAAAGATGATCTTCTCAAGTATCTTTGAAAAGACAGACAAGACAGAAATCGGTCTATAATTTGAAAATTGCGATCTAGATCCTGCCTTAAAAACAGGAGTTATGAGTGCTGTTTTAAAGATATTAGGAAATACATTTTTTGACAAACATAGATTTACTAGATATGTAACATGGGTTAATATACTAGGCAAAATAGATTTAACAAGTTTACTAGTAATATTGTCAAGGCCTGCACTTGCATCTTTCAGTGAAGCTGTAATTTGCATTACATTATCTTCGGTAACGGGACGAAAAGTCATCACATCCGGTACAACTATATGACTCATATATGATATGGGATTCTTGAGGCTTGGACCTAGAGATTTCTCGAGGGATGGGGCGACCTGGGCAAAGTACTTATTGAAAAGGTCCGCAATTTCAGTTGGATTGTCTACATCCCTTCCATCAACTTCAAATCTGTCCGGCAAATCATGCGAGTGAGTCTTAATTTGAGCCGCTTCCAGAAGATCAGCCCATAAGTGCTTGGGATTTTGACTGTTTTTATCAAACTGGTTTCTATAATAAGCCTTCTTAGCATGTCGCATTGCCAACCGCAGTGAATTGCGATATTTACGATTTTTTTTTTAAATTCTCTGATGAGCGACAATTCAGAAACTCTTTAAGTAATTTATTCCTTTTACTAATGGACCTCAACAGTCCTGGAGTCATCCAGGGCTGAATTGGAGAAAATCGTCTTGATGAGTACTGAACTTTGAACTTTTCTGCCTCTGCAATGATAACTGAAGTGATTTTTTTTTTTTGCAGCCATATCAGGGTTATCAATGTTCTGAAATTCCGTCAGACAATTAGCTATATTAGCTTTAAGTTCTTCGATACGGTCATAGTTAATTTTGGAAGGCAAAGTGCGAGCGCATTCAGTTTGACAACCGGACTTCTTTATGAGTCTAGCTGAACAGAAAATAGCGAGGTGGTCAGCAATGCCTGCACATATGGATCCACTATGAGTCACAGAAGGCAAGTTATTTGTAACTATGTTATCAATAAGTGACTCATTGTAGGGTGGAGTGTTTCCTACCCGACTTGCAACAGATACAGTTGGATAAAATCCAAAAGAGTTCAAGCAGTTCATAAAAGATTTGGTTTCTTGATCATTACATTTGAATAAATTGAGGTTCCAATCACCTCCCCAAAAACATGACTTATTCAGGAGATTTAACTGGTATAAACAATCCTCCAGATAGTCCAAGAAAGGTCTGGAAGAGTACGATGGTGATCTGTAAACCGTGGCTACAATGAATGATGGTCTGCCGGGCAATGAAACAAGAAGAAAGATTGACTGAAATTCAACTTGGTTTGCACACAGGTGGTTTACCATGGAACAAAACTGAAAGTAAGATTTCTTAACATAGATAGCACACCCTTTGCCAGTTATGCAGTTCTCTGGAATTGCGTGAAATAATTCATATCCAGGAATAGAATAATTAGAAGTTAAACTAGGATGTAACCAAGTTTCAGAAATCAAGAGAAAATCAGCCACATGGTTCTCCTTATAAACAAAAGAAACAATATCACTATGACTACTGTGCAGTGACCTAGCATTGATATGTAGGAAGGTGACATCGTCTTGTTCAAAGAAACTGGTAGACTGAGAAGGCAAATAAGCAGCACAGTTCTGAGAGACAGTCAACAGGTTAGGAACAATTGTTTGAACATTATCCCCAATGGTTGACTCATCAGGGAGGAGTCGAGACGTACCACCTACATGCTGAACAAAGTAAGCTCCAGGGTAAATAATTTTGTACACTAGTTACTCAACACTAAAAAGAAAAAAAAAAAGAAACACAAGTGCACAAGTGGCCAGGTGATGGCCAGTTTATGAACCAATATTTGACAACTATTTTGATCCAATCAGGCATCAGAGATCATTCTTGGTCTAGACACGAGTAATCAAGTACCTCACAGCTACAGTGCAGTACGAGATTCGTCTATGACGAGTCCTCATCAGGGGTGTGAGGTGGCGGGACTCCTGGGGAGGTGGAGACCCCATCTCCAGTCACAGGGACACAATGCACTCCCCCACCAGGGTGACCCGCAGGGAGTCCCTTCTTGGGATGGGCACCCCCACCCTGTCCGCCTCCCCCACCACCATCCTGGGACTGGGTTCCATGGGTGGGTCGAACTTCAGCTCCACCCTGATGAGAGGAACCACTCGACGGGCCAGCTTCAGAAGTTCCCGCCTGCCCTGAAGGGGGTCTATCAGGTGGTTGAGGGCCCCCAGTGGGCCTGCGGTTGACTGGGACCCACGGGTTGGGAGGGCGAGAGGTGCGATCCGACAAGTCACCGTGTCCCTGTCTGTTACCAGTCCCCCTACTGTGAATTGCCCGGAACTGATCCCTGACAGCCACAGCAGAGGGAGTCACTTTTTTTCCCTCACAGAGCTCACGGATCTGCTCGAGTCCACAGCCAAATGGGATCTCGATGGGTTTCACTTCCCTGCTCTCCGACGTCCTGATGAAGATCCTACCGGTTTGGGTGTAGTAGGAGAGCACAGGGGAACGTGGGTCATTTTTTAGTGTCTTGAGCATGTCAATCACAGACAGACGCTCTGTGGTCAGGGACTCAAAGATAAGGAGCCCTGGTCTCTTAGGTTTAGTTCGAGCCCGGTACACGCGATCAGAGTTGCCCAGGTGGACAAACCTCACAAGGATTACCTTGGGGTTCTTCAGCCTGTGACAGGCAGAAAGATCATTTTTGGTTACGTCCGCCACCCCCAGGTAGGTTGACAGCAACTTAAGCACCACATCTCGGGTGTCCTCCCCCCTGACAGGCATCTCCACAGCGGAGCCAGTGAGGAGCAATGTCTGTTTCCTACTGTACATTTGCTGGCCTTCAAGGCGCAGCATGGTAGCAGTCAAGTCACGCTCCAACTCCTTCTGTTCAGACTTAACACTGCAGAGGTTTTCCTCAACTGCTTCCACCCTGACGTTAGTTTCCCCGTGACTGATGCTAAGGTGCTCCAGGGCAGATTTCAGCTGATCAACTGCTTCAGTTAGTGAGTCCACTCTTTCCTTGAGGGCAGAGTTTTCCTTTGCCAGCCGATCAATTTGATCCTTGTTACTAGGCGGCATCCTGAGTCACCAACAAAGCAGGGAGAAGCCCCAACCGGTCTGGAACAGCTCAGTGACAAGGTATAGGTAGCCAGCAGCTGGAGACTTTAAATGGGGTGCATTCAGAGGAGATTCACTACGCAATGTAGGTCAGGTAGGTAATGAGGTAGGTACGAACGGGGTTCAGATTAAAGGGACCCTCCCACCTTCAAAAAAGTTAATGAATTGGCATGAAAGTGATGTCGCTCGGTTCAGAAAGAGCAAAAACGAATATCTACCAAATTTCATCGAAAAATATTCACCGGTTTTCAAGATATTAGACTTTTACTTTTGTTTACTTTTTGGGATCTCCGCTGTTCCTAGCGACTTTATTTGAAAGTGCGGCATTTGTTGCGCGCAAAGCAACATATACCACAGCGTGCTACAAAACGTTTTAGTCAAACATTTAACGGACGTACGAAAGCCTGATGACGTCATCAGATTCCCGTAATGGTTAAGAGATAGGGACCACGCTGGTCCCACCCTGCAAGTAAAGGGAAGAAATTTCTTGAACACCATAAAGCTGCGGGGGTTGCGACCAGGATAAATGGTGGTTTCTGAGCCTGGCCGCAAACTTGGCTATCTCAACTCAAAACTAATGTTAAGGTGGGAGGGTCCCTTTAATCTCTTCAGGTGGCTAATCTTGGCTCTTTTAGTTAAGCGAACATAAACCAGCCAGTACAGTAATCAAAAATAATACATTACTCCTCACCTGAATATACCAAACAACGAGAAAAATACACGTGGGGCCACGCCCCGGCCCGCGTGGCAAAGCGCAAGGTGTCGCGCCAAGGATTGAGTTTTAATGGGCAGTCGTAGCGTCGTAGTAAGTTTTGCAAACAGCTGGTGTCTGTTTTCTTCTTTACTTTGGTACCTCGGCGGTCGGGCCTCAACACACTACACAAGCACTGGACATACAAAATCAAAACAGCTGACTGAGGCTGGACCAAGGGATGTAAACGAACAGCCCCGTTGGGCGCGCCAAGTTCGAAACACTCGGAAATATCAGCTCAACTTTCGGATATCCAAGACTTAGGGACAGTAAACACTCTATACCATAACAGAACAAAACCTACAGAATACTATAAACGGCCATTCGGTAGTCACTTACCAAAGGATAGAGGAAATTAGGGCTTCAAACTCGGGAGCTCACGATAGCGATCCACCATCACCAAGGATCAAGGAATGAATGAAAGGAATGAATGAAAAATGAGTTCAATGCAAAACAGGAAACCACCCCGTGTTAGAATCGATAATCTTGGAACCAGAGGAACAAACATTGCGACAGGAAAGCTCGCTCTCTCGGTCTGTCGGGCGGGATAAACCACCTCTGTGCACCAAGCCACAGCGAGCCGGCCGGCGCCGGATGTGTGCCCCGTGTTTTACATTTCGTCCAACATCCGGACCCGTCGCTGATCGAGAGGCTATAGCAGAAGAGATGGTAAAGTCTGTTTAAGAGCTAGCCGATCTCAGTGTCTTGTATAGAAACTAATGCCCCGAAGGGCGCGGGAAAAGAAGACAATTTCTGGGCAGACGGAGAGTGTGGCCGTAGCCGGACACGCTGAACGTCTCTGATGACACCTCAGCGGTCACTCCGTCAGTCCGACGTCAAGTGAGCTGACAGGGTGTGGCGATGAGGAATGAATGAACGGCTGACTCAGAACTGTTCTGACAGGTAGACTCAGACAGGCGGACTTCCCCGGGCCAAAGTCAGCCACCCAGCCCTGACTCAGCGGACCTGTGTCCCGTCAGAGCAAACGTAAACTCTCACACAAAGCTACCGGAGCTTCTGGCCTGGCGAGCTCTCTGAGACGGTCCGGCCGGGTGACGGAGCTCCTGCTGCGCAAAACACGCCGTTGGCACGGCGCACGGCCGACGGACGAAGGCCAGACGCCGACGGGCCCACGTTCCGCTCACCCACCACCCGTCAAAGAAACGGTTGTATAACGACTCACACCCACATTCCCGCCTCGGGCCGGCTTGTAAAGTGGTGTTTGATGATAGCGAAACGCGTGCTTGGCAGACGTAAATTTAGCAGTGTTCGCCAGAGCGTAGTTTGTGGCCTCACAAGCTACGTGTCATTTGGTGTTATTACTTATTAGCATTCACAGCTGCTGTCTTAATAGCATATTAATTTCTTGACCAGAAAAAAGATGGTCAAGAAAGATGAACAGCCATATAACCCAAGAGCAGCATAATTGAGACATCACACATAAAAATGCTCTGATTACCGTAATAATAACCTCTTAGAAGACATTTATAAGATGCAGAGCCCGGGATTCAAGGCAAATGGCTTGATCCACGACGGTTTCATTTAAACTAAACACGACGAAATGAGATTGAAGCGTCTATTTCTCAGGCAGACCAGGCAAGTTCGTATTTCCCAGAAGGCACTGCCAACTCATCCGTGACCGCAAATATAAAACGGCGCTTTGGCTCCTCGCCGGTCGCACTATCTCTATGCCAGTTTGAACTCGCTACTTCAAACAATGCAGCCGGGCCCAGCAACTGTCCGTCTTTCAGCGCGGACCCATTATGTCTGTTCTCGAGGCGCGGCGGCGCCCCAGTGGCGATGTTTGGCCGTTGGCAGGGTCGGCCGCGCCCTCCCTCCGCCAGCCTGGAACGCGCCGGTGCACCCGGTGCCCCCGTCGGCGCCCCCGTATACCACCCGCGGGCCGCTCGTTTGGAGAGCACTAAACCTGCTGTCCAAAGTGGGCCGCGTTCTCCTCTGGTCCAAACTCTGACCATCCGACCGCCGGCGGATTGGCACTGTCTGGGCACAGCGGCGTCAGCGAGCACGGACGGTACGCCCCGGCCGGAGTACGTCCTGAGAACGTCCCTGCACGTCCCGGCGGGCGTGGGTGTCATTACCGGCCGCGGACGGTGGCTGGCGCCGCCCTAACGAGCGCATCGCTCCTCGACCACCTCCCAGTTAACGAACTTGGCGGCCGACGGCCACCTAATGAGCCCCACTTCCACCGACCGGGGGGAAACACTGAGCGCCAGACTACACAGCGCTGCCAAAGTCTGCCGACTTCTGGTATCAGAACGTGACACATGGCAGCGAAGCTATTGAAACGCAATTTAGAAGGAAATGCAAAAATGAAAGAATGTTCAATATCAGGTTCTTGTTATCGATCGTTATATGAACGACCGTTTGCTGTTGTTTACCGCTGATTGTCCAACACCTGTACTGACTGTACCCCTGTCCCCCGACAGTCTCTGACTATCCCCTGAATTCCTGTAGTGTATACAGCAGCTGACTGTCCGTGTTCCGCTGACGTCTGACAGCTGCTGTCGCCGATCACGGGCGCCGAGGTGGCGTCCCGCGAGTTCCGCGTCACCGGCGACCGGGTATCGGTGGCCGCCCTGGAGGCCTCCGTCATCAGCGGCCTGCAGCTGGCCGTGTCCCGCCGCGCCGAGAACGAGTACGCGGCCGTCACCAGCGTCACCAGCCGGCTGACGGCACAGTACCAGGTCAGTACGCGGCCGTCACCAGGTCAGTACGCGGCCGTCACCAGCGTCACCAGCCGCGGCTGACGACCCAGTAACAGGTCAGTACGCGGCCGCCAGCGTCACCAGCCGGCTGACGGCACAGTACCAGGTCAGTACCAGTGCAGCATCAGGTTAGTACGCCCATCCGCGGTACCAGGTCTGTACGCGGTAATTCAGGTAAGTATCAGGTCAATATGTTGTATTTCAGGTCAATATCAGGCCAGTCTGTGGTCACAAAGTAAGGACTCGTGCCACAGGACGCACCGAGCCATACGGCCGAGTCTGCCGTGTTTGTTTTCGGGCAGGCCGGTCCATCTGGCGTGGCCCTGGGGATTATTTACGACCGCACTTGTCCGTGCGCCGCCGCGCCGGTCGGCCGCTCACCGGCGGATGGTCGCACAGCTCGGTCTGACTGCCTCAGAGGGCTGCCGGGGGCGGCGGGCGGCGGCCGAGTCGATACCGACGGATCCGACGTCTGGCCGGCGGAACCCTAACTCGTCTGAGCCAGAGCTGCCGGACGGACGGGCTGCAGCCATCACATCCGCTCAGATGGCTTATTGGATGGTTTCCGGGTGGAGTGTGGGGCGCCGTAGTACCGGCGGGCTGGGCTGAGGGGAAGCGGGCCGCTTAGGACGGCACCGGATCCCACCGGTGACCTATGGAGGCTCGGTGGCACGCGAAAAATGAAAATGAATGATTTCGCATTGACGGCCCCGGATATGGGTTATTATATCAGGTGTCATTGAAAGGTCAAAGGAAAGTTAAACGGAGTTAGCATGCAGTCGATGATTTCGACAGTGTTCCGAGAAGCAACCTCTGATCTCGAAGATAGACCGGAGTATATCAGATCACTCGTCTGCAACTCAGGGCTGCAATATCCTGTGGCAAATGTTGGCCGAGTGCTGAACTTGGCCCGGGCTATTTCGGACGTCCTGGACTCTTGAACACCGATGTTTGCTTTTTAACCCTATTCCTGGCGGGCTTCGCCGGGACAAGAATCTGGCGGGGGGGGGGGGGGCCGATTCGGCCCCCCCTTCAGATCTCAAAAACTACACATCGCAGCGATAAACGGTAAACGGCATCGGATACGCACGGTCAAGATCTACAATTTTTACTAAGGTCATTTTCAGGTCAGGTCAAAGATGACGTCACAGGGGTCGAAAAAGTCAAAATGGCGGCGCTAGATATGGAGAGAGTTCTTCTCGAATAACTTTCGAATTAGTCAAGATAGGAACAAACTAAGGGCATCATCGTGATCCTCTCGTCAATCCGCATCGAATGATATATATGTTGACCTCGAAAGGTCAAGGTCAAAGGTTGACCTCAGGTCACGTGACCTCGAGGTCATCATGTATATCATTCGATGCGTCTTGACGAGCTGAACACAATGAGACCATCCACGCGTCTGTATCTTGTTCCTGTACGGAGTTATTGGCCAAAAACCTTTGGTGACCTTTGATGACGTCACATGACCTCACAGCTGCCCAACAGCAAAACTGACCTCAAGGTAGTGAAGGTTGATCGTATATGAAGTCATGTATGGTATATGGGGCCATTCCGACCCGTTTTAGTGGTAAAAACAGGGAGTTGATTTTTCCCCCATTGACTTATAATGGGGAGGTCGCGAAACTGACCTGACCTTAGGTCACCGATATCAAAATTCCGAGATATACAAATTGCACATACTGGTACCCTAACTAAAGCCCGAAGAGAAGAAATTGATCGGTCAAAAACTCTAGCTCTGGCGTGATTGCAAACTTTTCTGAGGTAGGGTCACCAAACCGCCTCTGGTGACCTGACCTGAGGTCAGATCAACTCAAAATTTTCAGACATGTTACGTAGAAGCCTTTTAGGAAAAGTCAGAAAATTTGAGCTTCCTAGCTCAACTCGTTTGGGAGAAATAACCAAAAAACCTCAGGGGGGGCTCCTGAGGCCCCCGCCAGGAATAGGGTTAAGGTCACTTCAGTCCGAAGGACAGCGACAGCCAGAGCAGAGCTGTTCAGATCCCGGATGGACCGGTCCATTTCTTGTAAAACTGCACGGCCACGTGTCAGTGATAAAACTATTTTAAAAACTACCTACCTTATAAAAAATAAGTTAGCTGATCAAACAAACTACAAAATGCAATGAAGTATCGTTAAAATGACCTTATTCTGAAATCATAAATAAAGCTCAGGCTGCGATGAATGTAAAACGTTTTTACTCGGAGTCATAAAAATCATCCATATGTTACAGGGAGTATGCGATTTCAGTTAGTTTGCAACGACCCTAGGGTGGTTGT